GTGTGTGTGTGTGTGTGTGTGTGTGTAAGAACCCCACCTCTACTAAAAACCCCACCTCTACAAATATTAGCCAGGCGTGGTGGCAAGTGTTTGTAATCCCAGCTACCCAGGAGACTGAGGCAGGAGAATCGCTTAAACCTGGGAGGTGGAGGCTGCACTGAGCCGAGATTACGCCACTTCACTCCAGCCTAGGCAACAGAGCAAGACTCTGTCTCAACAACAACAAAACATGAAAATAAAGTCCAAAATGTTTAGAAATATTTTAAGTGGCCATGCGCAGTAGCTCATATCTGTAATCCCAGCACTTTGGGAGGCCCAGGCAGGCAGATCACAAGGTCAGGAGATCAAGACCATCCTGGCCAACATGGTGAAACCTCGTCTCTAATAAAAATACAAAAATTAGGTGGGCATGGTGATGCACGCCTGTAATCCCAGCTACCTGGGAGGCTGAGGCAGCCTCCGAATCACTTGACGCAGGGAGTCAGAGGTTGCAGTGAGCCGAGAATGCACTAATGCACTCCACCCTGAATGACAGAGCGAGACTCCATCTCAAAAAAAAAAAAAGAGAAATTATTTTAAGCTTTTATTCTGTACCAGACACTGTATTACCTTTAATCATTATTTGTATTATACTGTGAGATAATGTATTATATTGAAGTATGTGTTATTTTATATTAAGGCTCAGAGAAGTAACTTGGCCAAGAGAGTAGAGAAGTGGCAGAGCTTGGACTTAAACTCACGTTCCTCTTCCTGCATTTTGCTACCATCCTTTACAAAATGACCCTGCCTACGATTTCAGCAGCCTCTCTCTCTTACCATAACCCTGCTTTTGTACCACACTCCAGCCATGCTAAACTGCTAGCTGCTCCCCAAACTGCCCCATCTGTTTTTGATGTTTTTTTCTGTTTATTCGTTTGTGAGACAGGGTTTTACTATGTTGCCCAGGCTGGACCTGAACTCTTGGGAACAAGCAATCCTCCTGCCTTGGCCTCCCAAGTGGCTGGGACTACAGGTGTGGGCCACCGCACCCAGCCACAAACTGGCTCATCTGAAAGCTTACATGGAATCCCTGCTGCTCAGACTTCAACTTCTCTTCCTTTAGAATTGAGAAATTATTCAAACATTACCTCACATCCCAAGTCCAGCTGGTTCTTGTTGCTTCCATGACCTTTTGTGCCCATTTACACCTTTATCTCACTGTGCTGTAAAAAATTATTATTATTTTTTTTTTGAGACAGTCTCACTCTGTTACCCAGGCTAGAGTGCAGTGGCACAATCTCGGGCTCATTGCAACCTCCACCTCTCAAGTTCAAGTGATTCTCCTGCCTCAGCCTCCCAACTAGCTGAGATGACAGGCACGCGGCACCAATTTTTGTATTTTTATTAGAGACGGGGTTTCACCATGTTGGCCAGGATGGTCTTGATCTCCTGACCTTGTGATCTGCCCGCCTCAGTCTCCCAAAGTGCTGGGATTATAGGCAT